GAATTTTTGCGTCGCAGTTTAAAGCAAGATTGTTGCGATATGAATAAAATAACGAGCGTGTGTAAAAAAAGAGAGAGAAAGAGAGAGAGAGAAAGACTTAATACATTATTGTCACGCGCGCGAATCTTTCGCAATCTGCGTAGCAATCAAAATTTTAGTATTGATATTTTCGGGCGCATGAAAATTAAACATTTTATTTTCAATGCCGTCAAATATATCTAAAATATTATGTAAAAATGATTTTATACTGTATAGCGAATTATATTGTGTATAGTTTAATTCGATGGAATTTTTATTAGGACATAAAGTTAAAAGCTTGTCAATGAAATGCAATTTGTACCTATGCTGAAAATAACACATTGACATTTATTTAGAAAATACCGTGGAATCCCTCGTGCCCGAAACCACAATGTCCCCAAAATGACGGCAAAACAATATAATGGTATGCAAGTTGTCAGATATGATACCTGTAGCCAAATGATTTTATTCGCTGACTGCGGAGGGTGCGTATCGTATTTACCTCCGGTTTACATCGGCTTAATGCCGGCGTTGATATTCGAAATAATAGCGGCTCGCTGGCATAAGCGCGGTCCTCGTACAACGTAACGCGGTATCCATGTAAGCGCTTAGATTTACTGTTTCCACTAGCTAGCGACCAGCCGAACATGGCTTTGCCAACGTTGAGGCATTATATCTCTACTGAGCAGAACGATCTGGCCATATTGTATTTCACTGTCATTTGCTAAATATGTGCAAAGCCCAATAATAGTCGTGAATCTACCATTGAACAGTGCGTTACCCATTTACACTCCTGAAACTTGATTAGCGAAAATCCTGATATTTCCAAATGCTCGCAACTCAAAACCTATTGACATCACGATGTTCCTGCCAGGAAAAATCAATTTCAAATTTGCTTCAGAAATTCGAGAACAAAAATAGCTGTACATTTCGAATTTAATTATTAAAATAAAATATATTTTCTACATATATATATTAGGTATATATATATATTGGCGCTTGATTAAAGAAAAAGAAAACCTGTTCTTTTAACGACTTAATTGGTCCCGTTTGCATCAAATACAAAGTCTTATAGTCCCTTCGTAATCTCAACGGTCTTTACGCTATTGTCCCATAACACCCACACCATTAACAAGTTTCAAGCTTCTTAGTCGCCGTCCACGACCCTCTAAAGCGTCGTGGTCCCGTGGCCACTTCAATCTACAAAGACGGTCCGCGACCGTCTCGAAGCCGCCAATTAAATTAGTTACCAAATTCAAGAAGTCGAAAGAAGTGGTTTAACGCGAAGAGGAACAAATGACGGGTACTTACTGGCGTTTTGCGTCTATATGAATTTCACGACTGGGAATCCAATAGACCGAAATAGAAAATCGAGATTATTCTCACAGAGATCTAAGAACGATCGAGCGATTTCTTTATAAACGATTTGGTATTATTATTCATATTGCCATGTAGTAAAGTATAATATTTCGGATAGAACAAAAATAAAATTTCACGACAGCATTAATGTCCTTTTATAAATGACAGAGATAAATATTTATAACTGACAGAGATAAATATTTAAATTGATTTAAATATCCTGAATCCAGATCCGGTGGAATTTATATTCAGTTAGAAAGCTATTTAGTTGATATGGATTAAAAGTGTATTGATAAAAGGGTCGAAAAATAAATTAATAGGGTAACTGGGGGAATATGCCAGTGTGGGGAATATTGAAACATTCTCTATAAAATTATAAGCTTCAAGATTAATGTTACCACATGTTAAAGATTAACAGTATATAACGTATGTAAAAATACGTGAAAAAAATTTGATTACCCTATATTTGGCATACTGTTTAAAAATTCATAAGAACGTCGAAGCTCCAAAATTTCAAATCAAACGATTTAAATACTATTTGCATATTGGGGAGCAATCAGAACGATTATTTTTTAAAGATGAATCATTAAATGATCTGTAAACTTGGTTATAAAATAGATTCGATAAAATCATGTTCCGTCTCTCGATAGAAAAACATGACAGAATTGATGACATAAAAGTTTCCGATATGTGCGCATCGCTTTTCCCGAATGTAAGAAATGAATTCACTCTGCACCGGGCGACGCACCGTCATTGTCACGTCGCCGACTGCTCTATTGTTTCAGACACGTTCATTCTCTCCCCGGATGCGAGTCAAAATAATCGGCGGCGCGATAATCACCCGCCATTTCGTGCAGCTCTCGATGCTCGCTGTCGGTCCGTCGTTTCCCGTCTTGACGCCGTTTCACTCTGTTTCTTCGAACACACACCACACGACCGATCGCGAGAACGCGTAGCGCGATCCGACACACTCGGAACGAAAGATTCGGATAGAACGTCATGAAACGCGGAGATCGCGATCCGACGGTTTCCTTTTGCGCACTCGGAACAACAGAACAACAGATTCAGCTCGCACGCACGGTTACTATTACCAACCGAGCGTGCCTTAAGACGCTTTATAAAGTTGAAATAAAATAATAAATCATTTTCAAATTAGCGATATGACAAACGCAATGTATTTCGAAGAACTGAATAGAAAAAGACGTGAAATCGCGAAGCATAACTCTTTGCACAACTGTCTTTTAAAAAAGGAGAATCGAACACATTGTTTCTAAAATCGTAATCAATTTTTATAATAAAGTAGGTACACTTCGCTAACTCCTCGTATCTTCAATATCTTTGAAACGATAGTTCGCCGGTGCGCCAGCATGGAACGTTACCGCAGTTCGTTACTTCGCGAGTCTTTACGACATTGTCTCGCGCCGGTGACCATTGGCGAGTTTCGGACTTCTCGGTCGCTGAAAGGAAAGTCAAAGACGGTCCCCGGTGCGAGAAAGCCGCCAATTAAGTCAAAAGGGGGAAAGTCCGCCTCGGCAAATTCCGGACGCGCGTATCGCTGCGGTTCGTTTGCCGTCGTCAGAGCGCGACCGAGAAAATACACTTTGACCTGGATCGGCGTTAGGGAGACGCGTACTTGGTGTCTCTTGTGTACTCGAAATCGAAGTTCGTACCCGCGGTCGGTTCCAGGCGAACTCGAGAGATTGTGTCCGTTCCTTCGTATGTGAACGGGGTAGATTTGCCTGCGATAGACGGCCAAACAAGTTGAACGCTGCTGGACAACTTTCAAATGGGACAGTGAGTTTACCGCAGCATGGATTCGGCCGCACGCGCAGCGCCGCCGTTTCAGAGAGGCTATCTGCGCGACCGTGCCTGCGCGATAAAGAATTGTTCTAGTTTAAAAGGAAAGAGTTAAATTTGATCACGTAAAAGGAATTAGGAAATTTCGTTCGTATAATGGATAGCGAACACGTTTAACTTATCCATCACGTTAGAGACTGCCGTCGATAAAAGTATAATGCAATTCTTTGTAAACTGATTGCGTATTTTGAGAAATATATACGTGTATTTCTACGTGGATAACGGAGAGCCTTCATTGTCATTATAAGACGATCTGTTACCGAACCGCGCGGGAGCTTAGCGGAGAAATAAGCTCCACTGGTACAACCGCTGTACAAAAGCCTCTTAGCCCCAGCTCGAGCAAGGGTGAAAGAGGACTAATTTGTCTATCCGCGTACAGTTGGGGGAGAGCTGGTAGAAAAGAGCCGCGGTTATGGGCCACGCTTGGGTGTGCAATACATCCGGGAAAACCGCCCGCCCATTCGGAGGAACATGAACACCCTCCCGCACGTTATTTCCACGATCATCATAATCCACCCCTCGCCTCGACGTTGTTTTCGCACAGGTTCACACCAGATTCTGAGCGACCGAGGTGGATTAAGGATTTTCCGCCTCTGCCTCTCGTGGCCCCACTACCGCTCGTCGTCGGTGACAGAAAAAAAGGAACGACCCAATTCGGGGGGTTTTTCTGGTTTTAGAGGCCGGCTTTTGCAGCTCGTTGCACAGCAGCGAAAGCAGTAACGGTAGTCCACTCGTGCAACGAATAGCCGTAATAGTATTGTTCACCGCATTCGCGTAAAGTGACTCGCAAATATTCTTACACAAAGTACCCTGTTTTATCGTATGTATATATAAATATATATGTATATACTTTTTATATTTATGTCAATAAACATGTTATTTCTTTTTAATTCAATACGTTATTGCATTGGAACGTCCAAAGCTTTTCTCAATAAAATGTAAAACATGACTCCTAATTAGTAAATGCAGCTATTTAAAAAAAAATATTTTAAAGGCTAAAGACTTTACTTTCAAACTTTATCAAGTTCATTGCTTGATAATACTCTCTAAGTAACTCTAAAGTTGACCAGATAAAATTGTTAAAATATTTTAAATTTTAGGATCATACATAAAATTTACAAAAATTATTTTTAACTTTATAAATTATTTTAAAACTTTCTAAAAGCTTAAATCTTCTTTAAAATGTTATTTTAAATTAAACTACATTTTTTTTCGTCGAATTATCGTGATTTGAAATAATCACTAAATTTTCATAAATTTATAGAACGTGAGAAAATAAATCTTTAAATTTAAACGCTCCACATTTCCAAGTTACTTTCAAATTTTAATTTTAGATTATTATTACATCATTGTTAGGTATAAGTGAATCTGTTAATTTACCGCAAGTTATTTTTATCTCGTTTTTGTTCAGATAATGGAACGTTTTTCTATTTCATATACATAATTCTGATCCTACATATATATTTCTATTAAAAATATAATATTATATATACACATATATATATAAATCTGCCACAAGTTATAAATTTTTATTTAAAATGATTACTGTCTAAAAAGAGACGTTGTGTAAAATAAGTTCTATATTATAATTAAAAACCGTAATATTAAACTAAAAAATTCATGTAATAACTTTTGGGGAATATCGTTAAATTAGAAAATTTATATTAGATATTCTGATACCACATTTTTTCGTACGCAGAGTGGCTATATTTAATCTCTAATAATCGATTTAGTTATTGGCAGAGAATTTTCGATAAAATAACTTACCACGCGATGCACCGAGAATGCACGATTGTGGCAGCAAAAAACAAGTCAGCACCAGTGGCCAATTCATCTTTGAATCTACAACAAAAAGAAAGCACCAGATTCGTTAGCACAACAACAGCCTTTTAAGCGTTATTTGTGGCGACGGCATTAAAAGGCATCGAAAAATAATCATCCATATATATCGATCCAAAACACTTCGGCGAAGTGTTGAAAATTCGCGCTCGGAAAGCGATTGTCTTCGAATAACTGCCAAATAGCTCGTGCAAACAAATCGCCGCGTGCGGCAATATCGGTTTTCTCCTACGACTACTTCGGCTTATAGCCCGCCTTATCCCCCCACGAAATCTTGAGAAAAAACACACCCGGCGCAAATTAATGCGTGCTATACTCATTTCCAAACAACGGCTCGGCACAATTAGGGGAGCAGCCCCTACGTATGTAATATTGATACGGACGAGTGTTCCACGCTAATCCTTCTTTCGGTCAGTTATAACCCGATACCGATAGACGTGCCCGCGGCTACGTCACGAAGGGAGATGGATCGCTCTTGGCGCGATAGAAATTCAGGGGGATCGATATCGCCGGTAATTCTTGTATCGGCCCCAAGAATAAGTAGCCCATTGACCTCTCGGGCACGTTCTGAAATTAGACCGACCGTGTCGATAAAACGTACCAGATATTCTCGTGTTAAAACACCGTCTCGCGCGGCTCTAATGTATTCCGAGTTCAATTTTATATCATGGCTCACTCGTAAATTTGCCTCGGCATACGCCATAATAATATTTGGCTCGTCCATCTCGCACGCTGTCCGTATTCTATGTGCCTACAGAATCGAATCACATGCTAATATCTGTAGATCCAAGATTCTATGCCGCGCCCAATAAAAACACGCCGAGTAGCTTAGGGTGGAGACCCTTTATTCGCGTCCATTCGGATCGTTGCGCGAGCAAGCACAGACATTCTCCAGCAGACAGGGACAATATCTGGCGCAATCTTATGAAACGGAGCTAGCATTCCGCGCAAATTTTCGGAAGCCGCATACCGCGCAACGAGAGGGTTCGTCATTGATTTGACGCGCGCGACGACCCTCTTCTATAATAGTTATTCCACTTTCAGCTTCCTCAGAAGCGAGCTATAATATCTGATAACTGGTTTTTATTTTCATTATTTTAGCTCCGTCGATTTTACCAAGAAACACTAACATTTCCTCAGATGTGGCCCCTCCAATGAGCTTGAGTTCATCGATCGGATAAGACCAACAGATCCGTGTTTTTGTGGATTCTCGTAACGTTCTTGCGCTATTCGCCATGCGAATTAAACGAAAAGGAAGCAAGTACGCGCGGCCGAGGAGAACGAAGCGAGGTAAAGGGCGCGAAAGAAGAAGTTGCCTTCCCCGCTCGCGCACAATAAGACAAACAGATGTGATACAATGTAAAAGGAAACGAGTACCGCGCGCGATGAAGTATGCATGTAAACGTGAAAACATATATACGTCTTGTCACGCGATAAAGGCGCGAGATACAACGCACGTGCGCGACACGTAAGCGTTCCGATGCAAATTGCAAGCGTTGGATAAATGAATTCACATTTCCGTGGAGTGCGTTTTCACTTTTGGCGCGGACTCGCACTCCCGCCCGTAATTCTTTCCGCCGGCATACGCGTCGATCCGGACGCGAATGCGCCCGCTTCTTACAATAGCTCTCGATTGATACAGGTACGCCACAATAGTTTTCAACGTCGCCCTATATGAATATCGCAGTCAATGGGCGCATTCAGCGGAGACGACAATCGAGTAGCACTTGAGCAGCAATGCAACCCCGCTTCGCTGAATATCTCAGGGTATATACCGATCGTATTCAATCGCTACTCAACCGTTGTCTCCGCTGAATGCGTCCAGTGTAAACATGAAATGAGATTTGGCCAGCTGTGTTTAGCCCCGCGCGTACAATGGGAATATGAGCCGGAGATTCTAATGCATATTGAACGCGATCAATCACATTAAAATCTCCGCGAGCGACGCGAAAAGCAACGGTAAAGGATTAGATAAAGAAATGTTAGACGCAAAGCGAATTCTTTTATTAAGAACGCTACGTCTCGACCGGATCATTCTTCTTCTTAGCTATAGATAAAATATGACGACACGCTGTAAAGTCAATCATGAGACGAAAGCAGGTACATTGAGCTCCGTAAGAATCTTGAGAATTCACGGAGCGAATAAAAGCGCTCGTAGCAGCGTCGCCTCTTGCCACCCTGTTTATTTTCATCGCGCCTTTCATCGTGACAAGCTGATATTCGGGAAGTCACCCTTTTGCATTTTTTCATTAGAGACTCTCTTTGTTACAGAAAATGCTCGTTCTGCACGATTATTGAGAATGGCCTTCTCAACGCAATTCGTATTAATTTGTACGAATTCGTTTCTTCCGTTCTCTATTTACTCGGCAATTAGCTTCGCGGTATTAGCTAATTTGCATTCACAAAGACTATACCGAATGTAATCAACTATTCGTTGTAATATTAGGATCATTAATTAAACGATAATATTTCATACGTCGAGCGATTAAATGCTTCTCTTGAATGGACCCTAACATCACCGTAAACGCGAGGCGGGAGTCCTCATTTATAATTATCACGGGTAGACGGATGAAATCGCTCTTCATCCCGGACCCAGGATTCTCAAATAAAATCTCGGGGAAATTTAGTCGGTATTAACATCGGAAAAACGTGTGGCGTAAATAAAGAATTCCGTTGCTGCGGAAACCTCTCTCTTCCCTTTCGCCGGCGAGATCGGCGGCCCGTCCTTTCCTCGCCGAACTGCGATTTCTCGCGAACACAGAGAGCGACTAATATACCCGCGCGGGAACCTTTATTTTTCTTTATTAGCTCGTCGCGGTGCAACAATGCCGCGCACCTACGCGCACGGTGTCAATGAAGCCTGGCTTTTCGCAAACTCGCCGGCGGACCTTCGCAAACCGAGCTGGGCCGTGCGGATGCGACCGAGCCACATCTGCGGATTCCCGCAGAATATCGCCGTCGCCCGCGTGAACAAAGGGAAACGGGGGAGGATAGCGGTGGCGGCGAGGGTCGGTACGAGGGTACGTCTCGCACGCGGTGGATGCGGGGTCGGCGGTCGGTGAGGAAGAAGGAAAAAGGGAGAGGAGAAAGCAAGATAGAGAGAAGCTCAACGGAAGGATACGAAAGAGGGTGCACCGCCTCGGGCGTTTCTTCGTCCCGGTCTCTTATGTCCCCGGTCCTTACCTCTTCCAGCCGCATCGTTGCACCCTCGCTCTCGACACACCCCTCTCGGCTCTCGCCCTCCCTCGGCCCATCCCGGAACTTCTCTAAATAGCCATGTGACGCTACCAGCCACCGTATTACATTCCATGTACACACACCGATACCGCACGACGACGCGCACACGTACCTTACCGTGTGGCGCACGACACACGCGCGCGGATCTCGAGGAACCGAGGAACGCTCAGAAACCAGAGTTCCTGATCTTGATAGCGCCCGCGGGCGCGCGCGCCAAGAAACGACCGCGTCGCTGCAGGGTTGTCCCACGTGTTCGCGCGTGTATTTTGTGCGTAGTTACGTTTCCACCCCCCCCCCCCCCCCGCCCCTTCCCCCCTTCCTGACTTTTTTTCATTCGCCGCTCTCACTGCCAGACGGACACGGAGTTGTTGAGTTTTATGGAGATATTTCTGCGTGCGACCATGATCACCGGTCACCAGTTGTTATCGTTATCCTTACGATCGTGTTAGAGAAGCGCATTCGTGAAAGAACTCGGAAATTCGGGATGACATCTGCGACACAGTCGGCGCGAAGTTCGAGGGAAATGCCGAAAATTCGCAAGAGAAACGGCGCATTTGAAATATCGCTCCTGCTCTCTCGTGGCCGATCATTATTTCGCTATAATAATAGCGCGATTATTATTTCGACAATAATAGCAAAATTACATATTAACGTTAGGAACACGGGGGAGGCATCTGGTGGTAAATTCAAGGGATGTTCGATTATTGATCATCACATTCAATTTATACGAGACAATTACGCAAACAATACTGTTATTTACTTAGTGCAATATTAACTTGCCATGAGGTTACTAATTGCGTTAATAATGTATTCTTCAATTATGTCGAAAGAACAATTACACGTGTAATATTTGCACATGTTAATTGAGTTTGTTTCTATTAACAACCTAATATCTAGTCGCAGACTGTATTATAAAAATTTGTTTTTCTGAAACGAAAAGAAAACGTACGTCTGATTTCAAAAATAGTGTTTGTAAATACTTTATCGCAGAAATTCGATATTCTCATATTTTTAAAGCATTAGATAAGAGTGAAAGACTTTAAAATGTCGTTAGATTAAATTCAACATGGAATATATAATATTGGAAAATAATATCTAAAGTTCTTTTTAATCCGACTTATTTTTAGATTTTATTGTAATTTGTGTAATTAGTTTTTCATTGGAGAGCAATATGGGATAACTAATATAACAAAATCACTGCAATTGAATATATTCATTTTCGAGAAAATCTATCCGAAATCAATTAATGCAAAAATATGTTTTATATAAGATAATGTCATTTTATGCAAAAGACATAAATAATGACATAATTATAATTTCATTTAGAGAAAACAATTGCAGCAATTATTAATGCAATATTATTGCAATATCTGATATTATATAGTTTCGAGATATCAACTTTCATACAGACGTTACAGAGATGTCACACACAATGGGATTTTGTAAAACAAATTAATACAAGTAACTGCGATTGTGCTCGTATTTTAATTATTAAAGTGACAATAAAAGAAGATTCCAAAAATGTCAAATTTTATTATCTCGTAGACATATAAACGAGGGGGAATATTGACGTGATAATTTAATACATGTTATATATTTAAATTGTGAAATGCTTTTAGATGTAAAACATTTTTTTATTCCTATAAAATAAGCTCTTTGCGTGGCTTAAATCTTCATACCCAATACCTATATTCTTTTTTATTAATTCTATAGCAGAATTTATAAAAATGTACGTTACATACTTCTATATGCCGCATCGCAAATGG